TTCTAAGGGTATTAATTAAAGGAGAAGAGGACATATGCTTCTTCCCTACTGCTGCCATTGCCAGGACCCTGTCCAGGATATCATGCATTTAACCTTCGTAATTTTCCCACCTGTCCAGCTCTAAAGGCATCTTCTCAGCACATTCGCTGGACCTATGTGGTTTCCACTGGTCTCTAGTCTTCCTTTCCCATTAATCTTTGCTCAGTCAGATTCCTATCAACACCCCAGGTTGAAGCTCTGAGCTTCAGGGGCTTAGAAGCCTGTCCTTGTCTTTCAGCAGTCTCATTCTCTCTTCAGCCACCTCCTTCATTCTGTTTGGATCTCTCATTTTCCTTCGATCTGTCTGAGACATTTCTCATCAGGTTACCTCCTGTGGATGGTGAACCTCACTGGAGGCAGCTTCAACTTAGCATCACTTGAGGATTGTGGGTTATTGTTGCTTAAACTTTACTACATTTTCCTTCTGTTGGTTTGCAATGAAGAGAAATTCTGCTGTGCCTGTGTGCAGGCAGGTCTCTGAGGAAAGCCAGTGGGAGCTGGTGCAGCAGAGCTGTAATGTCCAGCTGCGGGCCTGGGTGCAGAAGTCTGAAGGAAGGAGAAGTGCTGCAAGTGCCAGGGGGACGATGAGAGAAGTGGCAGGGCTGGGGAGGTGAGGAATCAGGCTGTCCATGCAGTGTCTGACCTTCAGCAGGAGCTGGCCCTACCCATCCTGACAGCACTGGGAGACCCTCTGCATCAAAATCAGAGGAGACTGCAATAATTTCTTCTGTAAAATGGAAAAGTAATTCAGTAAACTTAAAACTAAAAAATACTTCTGTATTAAATGCTCAGTCAAATGTTCCCCTTTACATAAACTCCAGAGACCTCTGCAGTTATCTGTCCAAGCCTTGAAAACTGTAGAAAACAATTGGAAGAGACATGGCTTTTTGCATTTATATGAGCCCCATGGTGTCTGTAGTGCTGAGTCCTGAACCTTAGAAACCCAGAGGAGCCTGAACAAAGGGCTGAATAAGTCAACATCAGAGGCAACCCCTAAGGTTTCAAGGAGTGTTAATGGGTCCCAGTGAGGGCCATCAGCACCAAAGCCTCCCCAGGGGCTGGTTAGAGCAGGAAGTTGGAGGTGTCAATGAGAGGCAAACAAACACAATGTTAAGGTGGTTCTGGTGCTTAGTAAACCTTCAGGTGTTTAAGCCAAAGTGACAAAGCCTGACCCCCAGCCCCTGGGAAGGGAGATCCTGTCCCTCACACATTGACAAGGGATATTCCTGGGGCAGTGTCATGTGGGAATATGCAGTGACAAGGGCAGGACTATGGTGACACCTGTGGGTCTCTCTGGGCTGGGGCAGAGGGGCGTTAAGGTCCTGGTGCCATAAAGTTAATGTTTGTCCAGGTAGGCCTTAGTTCTGGAGAGAACGGCCATAGGCAAGGGGGAAAAGACCTTGGCTCTGCTGGGGGCTCTTAGCCTTGCCAGAGCCTTCAGTTGTCTTTCCCACAGGCTGTCCTCAGTGTCCCACACCTGCAGCTCTTTCCCTGCAGACTCTCAACATCAGCCTTTCTTCCCCACCTCGCTCTCACCTGAGCATCTCACTGCCCTCAGTGGTAGAGAATAGAATAGACGAGGCTATTTCAGTTGGGAGGGACCTGCAACCATCATCTAGTCCAACTGCCTGACCCATTCAGGGCTGACCAAGTTACAGCATGGTATGAACGGCATTGGCCAAATGCCTCTTAAACACTGACCACCCTGGGGCATTGACCACCTCTCTGGGAAGCCTGTTCCAGTGTTTGTCCACCCACTCGGTAAAACAAATGTTTCCTCATGTCCAGTCTAAATCTCCCCTGGCACAGCGTTAAACCGTTCCCACATGTCTTATCACTGGATACCAGGGAGAAGAGATCAGCACCTCCCACTCTGTGTCCCCCCCTCAGGAAGCTGCAGAGAGCAATGAGGTCACTCCTCAGCCTCCTCCTCTCCAAACCAGACAAACCCAAACTCCTCAGTCACTCCTCATAGCACATTCCTTCCAGCCCTGTCACCAGCTTTGTTGCCCTCCTCTGGATGCATTCGAGGACCTTCACATCCTTCTCAAACTGTGCGGCACAGAACTGCACACAGTATCGAAGGTGAGGCCGCACCGATGCTGAGTATCTATCCATCCTCCTGGTTGTTCCTTGAAACACAAAGCTGTGGGCTCTTCCAGACTCCCTCTGGGTGACTTGCTTCAGCACAGCACTGCCCTTGGGGTGACATTTCTTTCTCTTTGTCTCCATTCTCTACCTCCCCTGCTGTACTTTTTTCTGTTATATCTTTCTCATGCTGTTTTCTGACATGTGGAAACACACTTTACAACTCACAGAGTTATAAAGCAGGTATTGTTTATTGCAGTGATGGGAACAAGGGCGATCTCTCCTCCAAGCTTGTACACCGTATCATGAAGCAGGCATCATTTATGATACAGAAACATGCATATTCATTAGTATAGGCTGGGTTATTACAATTAGTTCTAAGAATAGGTGTGATTATTGTAATTATTTCCGGGAATTCATTATCCTAAGTCTCCTCCTCTTGCCACATGCGTACTGCCATCCGGTGGTCGTGGGCCGGGGTCTTTTGGAGGAAGGCTCGTGGTCTTCTTCACCATGTACTCTAAATCTTTGTCCCAGAATGCTGAGTTACCTCAGCCAGTAACTGCAGAACTGGTTCCAGCCAGATGGCTCCTTCTTGCAGACGCCTTAATTAACAGATGGATATCCTGTTATCTATGGAGGCCTCTTGTAAAGACGTTTCCTGTTATCTTTTAAGGTCTTTTGCAACCAAGTATCCCGTTATCTTGCTAGTTATTTTGCTAAGCGTTTATTTTCTATATCAAGTCCCCCCTTCTCTTTTACCCTTGCCAATTCTTTTGCTATATGGAACCATTCCTTTTAGCAAAATACTTGCCATTTTCAATGTTTTGCTGTAATTTGTGTTTCTTCCATTCCTCATCGGTATTCCCAGTTTGTTTATCCATCCACATAAATCATTGCAACACACAACAGACCAATAATCCTAATACAATAATCACGATAACTGCAACAAAAAGCTGCTTAAGCTTTGTGACATTAGGTAGCCAAGAGGTGAGCTTTTCCCAGAGGTTAGAAAACCCATACGAGGTATCATCCAGGGATACCTGATGTAAGACTTTTGAGTGTTCCCAAATCTTCTGAAGGTCAATCTCTGTTCTACTTGATTCACCTACATAAATACAACAGCTTGTATTGATCAAGGTGCACACCCTTCCCATGTGAGCTGTGATTATATCTAGAGCCGTTCTGTTTTGAAAGTCTACTCCCTTCAGGGATTTTACCTCCTGGTCTAAACATAAAAGGTCATCAGTAGTTGCGTTTGCTATTATTTCCATTTCTGCCAAAATATTTACCATGGCTTTTTCAATCTCATGAACTCCAAACCAGGGTAAGAACCACTGTGTGAAGCTATGAAACCCTAACGGTTTCTCTATAAGCGGGTTATAAGCTCCCTGTCTTACCCTTTTCCATGGTGACCTCAAAACACCATTTGGGGCATGGGACTGGTTAAATATTTTGTCCTGGGGTATCCTTCTTTCATATTTTCCTTTTCTAGAGCCAAAACCATTGGGTCTTGTGGGCTCTTTAATCCACAATCAGATTGATACTCAGGGTGATTTCGGAGTGTCTGCATATGAGACCTCATCCCACTTTCCTTCTCTCCTCAAAACCAACATCATTTGCAACAAAGTATTATAATTCAAGGTTCCATTAAAGGGCCATTTCCCCCCGTCATCTAATTTATACAGGGGCCACCACTGGATACAGTATTTAGTTAATGTCCTTTTATTCACACTTCCACCTGGTGTGCCTCCAATTTCCTTCCAATGGGCTAAGATGCAGCCCAGAGGGATCTTTTTCACTATACCCCCACTCTGTTTCCCTCCCATATTGTTAGCCGGGAGGGCTTATCCACATTCTGCTTCTATTGCCTCTGTAAGTTTCCTAGGTTCCCACAATACGTTCTTCTAAGCTGACCCGAGCGCTCAATTCTGTCCCAGTCAGACCACTTCCCTTGACATTTACTACACCAGAAATCGTCTCCAAATTCCACCCAGACGTCTTGTCCACAACCAAAGCACTCCAAAACAAAGATTGGATTACAAGAAAAATCCTCGGGTCTGTGTATGGGACACCAAAAGTTCACCACAGGCTCAAACAATACTGTTTTAAAATCTGACATACACTTCATTCGCTTCTCTCGCCTCCGGCCACTCTCCTCGTGGAGGACATGGAAGCGGGGATCAGAACTCCGCACTCACTTCGCAGCTGTGCTGCGTTTCACTTCTCTCATGCAGGCATACAGGCACACAGACACACAGTTACACACAGGGCCCCTGTCCTGGTTCGGGCTGGAATAGAGTTCCTGTTCATTTTGGCAGCGGGAGGAGAGCTGCAGCACACTGAGGCCCCAGAGGCTCTCCAGGTCCGAGAGCCCTTGCCTGTGTGCGGGGGTGGGGGGAGCACAGCTGGAGTGCTGGGCCCGGATTGGCTGCTATCCCATGTCATGTGACATTTTGCTCACCATATAAGGGAAGGAGTGGGCTGGAAGGTGTGGGCTCTCACTTCCGGGAGTGTGGCTGCAGGGTCTTTGTGTTCGGGATCGCTGGCCGGGAGCAGGTGGGTGTCGGTCAGTGGGTGGTGAGCAGCTGTATTGTACGTTACCCATTCATCATGGCACCATATTATTCTGTTACTGTTATTAAACTGTTTTTATCTCAACCCGTAAGTCTCCCTTTTCCCTCCAATTCCCTCCCCATTCCCAAGTGGAGGGGAGGGTGGGTGAGAAGCTGCGTGGCGTTTAGCTGCTGACCAGGTTTAAACCACGACAACTGTCACACAGGTTATCCGTGAATGTGATACACATGCTGCAATCAGGCAAGCCAAGAGGTTAAAACCTCTTTGGTATCGAGGGCTATGGTTAAAATATAGATATGGGGAGGCCTGGCAGAGTGATTACATCATGCTTCCACAATACTTGGCACGACAAATTTTATGCACTCACAATAGTGGAAGCAACTACCGGATGGTTGGAGACATAGGCCGTGCCCCATGCCACTGCCTGGAACACTATTCTGGGCCTTGAAAAACAAGTCCTGTGGCAACATGGTACCCCAGAAAGAATTGAGTCAGATAATGGCACTCATTTTCGAAATAATCTCCTAAACACCTGGGCAAAAGAACATGGCATTGAGGGGGTATATCACATCCCCTACCATGCACCAGCCTCTGGGAAAATTGAGTGGTACAATGGGCTACTAAAGACCATGCTGAGAGCAATGGGAGGTGGAACTCTTAAACACTAGGACAGACATTTAACAAAGGCCACCTGGTTGCAGATGGAGGTAGAGTCCCTGTAGTGCACCTTAAGAACATGCTGGGGAAGACTATTTGGGTTATTCCTACTTCAGGTAAAAGTAAGCCAATATGTGGAATTTACTTTGCCCAAGGACCTGGATGCACTTGGTGGGCAATGCAGAAGGACGAGGATGTCCGATGTGTGCCTCAAGGGGACTTCATGTTAGGTGAAAATAGCGAATAAATAGCCAATAAGCCTATGGGTATGCAACCCCATAGGACAGCCTGTGGTGGAGATGACAGAGCGCTGTGAGAATGCTGAAAGCCCCCAGTAAAGTCAACCCTATCACGACTTTGGCTGTGGCTGTTGTCTCTGCCACTGATGCCTGTGAGGAGGCACAGTCCCTTGCAGCACAGGGGCCTCATGACCTCCTTGTGCATCCTCAGGAGCCTGGGAGGTGCACATCTCCATAGCCCCTACCCCAGGAAGAGCCCTGAGGAATGTGGGAGGGACAGGATCTCCCTTCCTAGGGGCTGGGGGTCGTGGCTTGGCCATTTGGTTAATGGGCTTAGGACATGGAACTCTGGCTTAATGCAACAAATTCAGGTTTACTCAGCATCAGAGCCACCTTTCCCTTTTTGTTTCCGACTTCTCATCACTGCCTCCAGATTTCTGCTCTAACAGGACCCTGAGGAGGCTTTTTCAACAGTGTCCCTCAGTGGAAACAATTAAAGCCACAAGAAACTTTGGAGTTTGAATAAAACTGAATTCTTCAGAGGTTTCTTCAGCTTCTCTGTGCCTGAGGTTCATGGAGTTGGCACCAAACCCTCCTGAGGGGTCATTAAAGTGCCTTGGGCTGTTGCTGTGGTGCTGAGCTGGGCCGGGCTCCTGGGCCGGAGGGAGCTCCTGGCAAGTGGGCAGCGCTGCAGAGAGACAGCTCTTCCCAGGAGCAGCTCCTCTGCAAAGCGCAGCAGGGCTGGGGGCACTGCCTGCAGGCACCCAGGGCAGAGCAGCGAGGCACACACAGCTTCAAGGCAGCCTGGGCTGGGAGGCTGCTGAGAGCTCCGAGGAGGAGAAAGCGTCAGGGCCCTGGCCACAGTAAGTCTGGGGGTGCAGGGCAATGCAGCTGCAGCTCGGGGAGGGATCTGGAGAAGGCAGCAGAGCCGCCAGGTATCTGCCTCCTGCCTAGAGGAAGAGGAGGAGGAGGAGGAGGAGGAGGAGGAGGATCTGCTCCCGAGCAGGGCTTCCCTGGTGCCCCCTGCGAGGGCCAGGGCATGAGGGCTGCCTTCTGGCGGGGCCGGCTGCAGGGGTGTGCAGCCGGGTGTGCAGGCAGGGGTGCCCAGGGCTGTCCTTCCCAGCAGGGTCCCTGCACCCCAGGGGGCTGTGTGCTGGGGCAGGGACTCTGCCACCTGCCAGGGTCAGCACTCAGCCTGCCCAGGGAGCTCCCCACGGCGCTGTGGGGAGAAGCTGTGGGGGGAAGGAGAGACCCCCACCAGGGCAGGCTCCTTCTGCTCTCCAGAGGCTGCTGCTGCGTGGATCAGGGATGCTCACAGCTCCAGATCACGTATAGCACATTTGTATTTAAAGAGGAAATTCAAGGCAGGGGCCACCTTAAAAATGTGAAGCTTTCTAGGATCTATGATCTCATGTTTCTTCTAAGAAATCCTAGAAAGGAGCTGTGAAATTTGAATAAGTCACTGAGACTCCTGAACTGTTAAACTGAGGGATCAGCAGAATTGCCAGAAGCTTCATAATGTGCCTTCACCTACTCCTCTACTTACAGACACACCAGCATCACCTTTGTTTGTGGGTTCTGGTTTTGCCTGCTGTTCTCCTTTGTATCTGGAAGTAGGGAATGCCCCTGGGCAGTGCCCTATTGCCAGGAGGGGTCTGCAGGGCAGAGCTGAGCACACAGAGGGTGGTATGGGGTCTGGGAGCACTGTCAGGGTGCTGACATGGGGACACAGAAATGGCTCCTAGCAGAAAACAGCTCCAGGGAGCAGAGAGCCAGGACTTGCTCCAGCATTGTCTTCACTCTGGACTGTGGCACTGTGGAGCCGCAGAAGAATGACATGCCGAGACGGGTTCAATGTGGGTGATAGAGCATCAATTAACATGTGTCTTTATTGGTCCAGGGTACATATATTTATACAGACAACACTAATTATTATGCCTACTAGTCACTAGCTGATTGGCTTAAGCTCTAAAGGTCGTATTCGCACGGTCCACCTACTTAGCTAACAGCACAAGCTTCTCATAACACTAATTTTCTCATGCCACTATTTCTGATTCCTCTTGACTTGTTTTCGATACACAACAGTACCATAACACAAAGTTTCTCAGACCACTGTTACCATAACACTAGGTTTCTCAGACCACTACTCCGAATTCCCCTTAACCTGTTTTCGACACACCACGGTACACAAGGCTGAAGCGTCCTTGACATTCCTCATGTATCAGCAGCTGCGAGCAGCTGCAGGCAAACCCTAGTGAGGCTCAGCATCAGCAGCTAGAGCAGGCTCTGATCATACAATTGCTCAGTGGGCTCAGGACCCTTGTCTCTGAGCCATTCTCCAACAGGGCACAAGGAATCTTTTTGTTCTTCAGGTCTCCCCTGTGTTCAGGCTGAGAGAAACATGAAAGATAAGGATTTCTGCCCCTTCAAAGAATGTCTCATCAGAAAAAACACAAATCTGAGCTCATGTAAAGGGATCAAATATATTTTCCCCAAAGAAAGAGAAATAATTTTGAGGAGACTTTTTGAGAAACAGCATAAGATTGAATAAAAGAAGTCTGTCCTAACTTGTCAATGTCTTCTAGTTCAACCTCCCTGCCTGCAGTGAACAAATGTCCAACAGAAGCTCCACCACTGAGTTCCTCCTCCTGGTATTTGCAGATAGACGGGAGCTGCAGCTCCTGCACTTCTGGCTCTTCCTGGGCATCTACCTGGCTGCCCTCCTGGGCAACGGCCTCATCTTCACCGCCGTTGCCTGCGACCACCACCTCCACACCCCCATGTACTTCTTCCTCCTCAACCTCTCCCTCCTCGACCTGGGCTCCATCTCCACCACTGTTCCCAAAGCCATGGCCAATTCCCTCTGGAACACCAGGGACATCTCTTACTTGGGATGTGCTGCACAGGTCTTCTTTATCATTTTCTTTGCTACAACAGAACTTTCTCTTCTCACCATCATGGCCTATGACCGCTACGTTGCCATCTGTAAACCCCTGCACTACGGGACCCTCCTGGGCAGCAGAGCTTGTGTCCACATGGCAGCAGCTGCCTGGGGCATTGTGTTTCTCAATTCTCTCCTGCACACGGCCAACACATTTTCCCTACCCCTCTGCCATGGCAACACCCTGGACCAGTTCTTCTGTGAAATCTCCCCAGTCCTCAAACTCTCTTGTTCAGACTCATACCTCAGGGAAGCTGGATTTCTTGTGTTTGGTGCTTTGCTTGCTTTTGTTTGTTTTCTTTTCATTGTACTGTCCTATGTGCAGATCTTCAGGGCCGTGCTGAGGATCCCCTCTGAGCAGGGACGGCACAAAGCCTTTTCCACGTGCCTCCCTCACCTGGCCGTAGTCTCCCTTTATTTCAGCACAGGCATGTTTGCTTACCTGAAGGCCCCCTCCATTTCTTTCCCATCCCTGGATATGTTGGTGGCTGTTCTGTACTCAGTAGTTCCTCCAGTCATGAACCCTCTCATCTACAGCATGAGGAACAAGGAGCTTAAGGATTGCCTGAGGAGACTGATGACTGGATAATTCTCAGAAACAAAGTTCCTGTATTCTGCAAATAACTCGGTATGTAATTCATTACAGGCAAATCTCATCTTCTATATTTTTTTTTGTTCTTTTGTAGTTTGGGATGGGTTTTTTTGCTTTGCTTTACCTTTTATAAATTTCTCTGCAAATAAATGTCATTATTTCTCTTTTTTCTAATTATGTATCTATCAATATTTTTTGTCATCCAGAGACTTTGTAAATGAGGACCCATGTTCTCTTTCTGTTTAAACAAAATAAAGGATGCTGCAGTGACTTGTTTCTCTGAGATCTTTCCTCGAAGACATTCTCTGGGCCTGCCAGAACAGTGCCTGCATGCAGAGGTGGAGGGGAAAAGCATCCTAGCACAGCAGTGCTTTCAGGAAGCACAAGCACTTGGTCTTTCCAGAGCTGCTCATTTTCCACTTCCACTCTCTGCTTCTGAGCCCTTGTAGGGGTCCTTCCTTGAACCGTGGTCCCTGTGTCCCTTCCTCATACCTTGGGGCATCTCCCACGGGTGCAAAGCAGGGCGAGCACTGCAGGGCTGAGGTGCCTCCCAGCCTCTGGGGGTGGAAGCAGGAGTTCTGAGAGACACTATGGCTCCTGCAGTGCACTGCCTCTGCATGTGCAAGGGAAGGACTCGTGTCTCTGAACAGCCCTGTGTGTAAGAGGAGTGCCTGAGGCCAGCTCAGCTGTGGGCACCTGACAGAGCCCTGACACTTCTGTGTGTGACTGCAGGAACAACCCCACCTTCCCAGTGAGATTCACCTCAGCCACTGTGGACAGGCTCATTGCAAGTGCTCCTGTCTGCTCTGTCACCCTCCTCTGTCTTTCTAGACTGTGCCGCCAAAATCATATAGCAATCAGAGAGGTTCTGGGGTCCTTGGAAAAGGCAGATGTCCAACCCATCTTCAAGAGGAACAGGAAGGAGAATTGGGATAAATACAGGCTGATCAGCTAACCAGCATCTCTGGGAAGGTCATGGTGCACGTCCTCCTGCTGTCATTTCCACTCACTTGAAGGACAAAATAAAGGCATTGTTGAACCAGAACGGGCAGGGTAAACAAGGGCATGTTATGTACATGGAATTTTGCAATACCCTTGATGCAGTCTGCTATGTTTCCCTTATAGCCAGATAGGTGCTCTTTGGACAGAAGAGGTGGGCGTTACAATAGGTGGGAAGTTGGCCCCATAATCAGGCCCAAATGGCATCAGTGACACAAAGTCCCCCATGCAGCCAGTCACTGTCATCATCCCTCAGTGTCCAGAAATTTGGCCAGCACTGCTGCAGGTATTTATTATCTCCCTGTATGATGTGATAGAGCACACTTTCAGCTCCTTTGTGGAATATAAAAAGGTGGGCCGAGGCCTTGAGCAACCTCATCTAGTTCACTCTTCCTTGAGCAGGCATGTCAGAGAAGATGATGTTCAGGGATGTCTTCCACCCTGAGCTACTCTATGATTCAATGAATCTTTCCCTTGCAGAGACCTCTGAAGACAGAAGAGGCTGAGGAAGAACAAACAAAAAGAAGCATGAGATGCAGAAGAGGAGATATAAAAGCTACCAACTTAAATAAAGCAGTTCCTGTGAAGAATGTTTCTCCACTCAGATCGTTAGTAGGAAATAGATTTGATAGATTTGATAGAACAAGCATACTTTTATCTGGTCAGTCCCTGGGCCATAATGAGGGTGATGGATGGGTATGGTATTATGAGGTCAGTTGTGTCTCAGAAACTCATAATCCAGTAGGAAGAGTATGGCTGTGATGGGGACCATGAGGTCATTTCTGTCTCTGGAGGTGACAGTGTAACAGCAGGAACACAGCGGGGAAAGTTCCTCTGCCAAAGTAACCCCACAGGCCCTATCCAGGAAAAAGGCTTGGACATGGGTTCTCATGTCCGTTCCACGTGAGCAGAGGATGGGACAGCAGCAGGCACGTGCCTTGGTCCCATCCATCCAACAAGCTGCAAGACCAGTAGCGGTTGTGTGGTTTAGAAGGTGAGGAAGGCTAATGGGTTGGGTTCCCTGCTAGAAAGATGGTTTCTGAGGTGGTAGAGCTTTCCTTGGTAGTAGGAAACATCAGTGAAGGTACAGAAATGTTGGGGTGAGACCAAAGCAGAGAAGCGAGATGAGTGTCTACAGCCTGCAGGGAAATAGTGCAGGTATCAGATAGTGTAGAACAGCCTGCAGTGAGGATGGCAAAGAGCTCTGGCAAAGCTGGGAGGCACCAACAGAACCCAGGTCTTTGTCCTCTTGGCTATGGCAGTTGTCTATCACTGAGACCTGTGAGAAGACACATTGTCCTCATGGTACTGGGGCCTCACTGTCTCCTTGCAAAACCAGAGAGAAGCTGGAAGTTGTTGTGCCATGGTTGTCCTTCACTTGGCTTTGCACACCCCACCTCCCACGGTCCCAGGAAGAGTCATGACCTGAGCATGAACAACAGGACCCCCCTTCTCATGGGCTGGAGGTCACAGCTTGACCTTTCTGCTTCATAAGGCAAACCAAGGGTTTTCTCAACACCAGACTTGACTGCACAGTGCCTTTGCCTACCTGCAACCACAGCCTCCAATTATCTGCTCTAACGAGTCTATGGGGAGGCTTTGTCAGTAATGGCCCTCAGTGGGGCCAATCAATGCTTCAAGGTACTTTAGGTTTTGCTTCTGACTTTGATTTCTTGAGAGATCTGCTCAACCTTCTCTCGGTACCTGAGCCTCATGGAATCAGCCTCAAATACAGCATGGGAACATTACAATGCCAAAAATTTGAACAAGCCACGACTCTTCCATCATTTTCTTCTAGTACTGGATACTCATATAGCTAATTAGGTTTCAGGAGGGTAGGTAAAGGGGAAATTTTCAATGAGCATTTTGAAGAAGTGATAGAAGAATTTTCCAGTTGATACTGATGCAGAGTGTCTCCTAAGGAGGTGTAGACAGGTAGAAAAAGCAGCCTCTTGAGTCTAGACACGGTATGGACAACTTTGCACCTCACCTCTCCAACCTCATTATGTCTTTCTTTGGCCCCCTGGAAATTACATCACTTTTCCTTACATCAGACTTGTCCACTGAAGTCTGTACCTGATTGTGACAGCTTCTTTGCAGCCATCTCTACCGATTTCATTAGAGAATTGAAAACAGGAACAGAGGGGTTTTTTTGAATTGGGGAAAAGGAAAAAAAAAAAAAAAAAAAAGAAGAAAAAATAAAACACAATAGAATGTAATCAACAATAAAACACACTTCTCAGCTGTGTGTTTAAGCAGCTTCCAATGAAGACCATTGCCAGAGCTGAGGAGTTGCCTATAGGGAGTATGAAAGAAAGACTATGGAAAGACAGTTGGGCTTTACATCCCTGAAGCACAAAGAAGGTTGATATGTGAGACGGATCTGAAGGATAAAAGAGTAAGAGGAGGAAAACCTCTGGGTAACAATGGAAAATGTGTATTTCCAAAGAGGCTTCTGAATAAATAACTTCAGATATAACGAGGTCTCTTCAAACCCAAAGCATTCTATGATTCTACTTTTACTGCTTTTTTTTGTGTGTGTTTTTTTCTCACAGATTCCTCCCTGCAGGCACAGAAATGATCCCTTACTTTTCCCCAGAGCCATCCCTGCTCCCCAGAGAGCCTTTCCCCACATGAGACTTACAGTTGTGACTATGTTGCAGTTACCTTAATAAAACAGTTTGAATCCTACAATATTATTTTGATTTTAGTTTAAAAGTATGATTTTGATTTAACATGAAGCTACAGTAGCTGTGAAAATATAAAGTACACTAAGGCCCTTAAGATTAAGCAACTAGCATGCTGTGTGCCTTGAACACTATAACAATCGTTATGGACTCTGAATTAACACAATAGGTACTGGTTATGGATCTTGACTTGAAACAATAGGTACCAGAAGAAACTGACAGCCAATCATTATTAAGGTCAAACTAAACTCTGTGAATTTTGTTGATCTTATGTAACCATGACTCTGCTGAAAAAGTGTATAAATATGTTGTGCTTTGGACCTGTCGGGGAGCACGTTTTTTGAGCTGTCCCCTGTGTTCCCCAGCGCTGGAATAAAGAAATGCCTGCTTATCTGCCTTGTGTAGGTAAGTTCTATTCATGATTGCCACCACTAACACTGCTGCCAGCCCCTTGTCCTCCCCAAGCACTGTCCTGCTGTCCTTGCAGGGTGCTGGGGCCGGGGGCCTTTCCCCCCTTCCCCAGAGCTGGCGGGGGCCCCCTCACTTTGATATTCTCTGGCAGCTTGTATCTATGGCAGAAGACATTGAGGCCCTGGGACAAGCCCAGGTGCCTGGCGGTTCTGCACAGGATGCAGATGCTGTCCAGAAACTTCATCTTGTGGCCCTCCTCCTGGCAGCCGGGGGACAGAGAGACAGGCAGGGAGCGTGAGTGGGGGGACACATGGCCAGCAGGACCGGAGCGCTGGGGGTGCAGAGCCGTGGGGGAGAGCTGGGAGAAGCAGCTCTGCCCAGCCAGCACCCCTCCAGCAGTCCGGCAGCAGCAGCAGAGCCCCTGGCAGCAGCCGCCAGCACAGCTGGCTCTGAAAGGGCCGCGGTCACCTTTTCTGGGCTGAGGACGAAGACGCGGATGAAGTACACGTGTTCCTGTTCCTCTCGGTACACAGGCAGCCAGCTGACAGCTCCAGGAGGAGGAGAGCAGGGAGGGCTGTCGAGAGAGTGCGGTGGCAGGAGAGAGCAGAGGCAGGAGCTCTGCCCTGTGGCCGGCCCCACACCCGCTCCCCTGGCACAGCCTGCCCGTGCGTGGCGGGGCTGGAGGGTGCCCAGCAGAAGGGCTGCGCTGCTGGAGCACAGAGCGGCAGGGAAAACCCCCAGTGCCGCGGGCTGAGGCCCTCGCTTGCAGCCAGACAGGAAAGGGCCCCGTCCTGCAGCATTGTTGCCTCCTGCCAGCCCAGCTGCCTCTCACTGCCCGTGCCCCGGGGCAGGAGCTGGGTGCCCTCTGCTCTCTCCCTGCTGGGGCGAGGCTGTGCTGGGTCCAGCCCCCAGCCCTGAGAAGCCCTGGCATTCAGGCAGCACCGTGTCCCCCACCCGCGGGACCCCCGCTGATGGCAGAGGGGGGAAAAGTGCTCCTGGCATCGAGCAGGGTGCGCTGGCTGTGCCCTGCCCTGCCTGGAGCAACGGGGCCCCCACTCACCGATCTGCAGCGGCTGCACCGTAGACACCTCATGGGGCTCTGGCGGAGAGCTGCTCTCCTGGGGAAACCTGTCCTCCTGCTAGGCCACCCTGGGGCGGCTGGGGGGTTTCTCTGCCATCCTGCAGGACGGAGGGAAGGGGCAGGGGTGGGCAAGGGGGAAGCTTCAGCCAAAGGCCTCTGTGCTGTGTGGCTGCTGGGGGTGGCGGGGAAAGATGTGGGCTGCGTTCGGGGACTCCTCGCTGGCCCCGTGCTCCTGCCCTGTCCCGTTGCTGTCCTACCAGACACTGCGGGCTGGGGGCCGCAGCCACGCTGAGCACACGCAGGGCAGTGGGGTGTCACAAAGGGAGGTCACAAAGGGCCCCACGGTGACCCACCACCCACGCAGGGAGGGGAGGGTGTCCCCTGGGGGGGCACAAGTCTGTCTCAGCCCCGTGTTTCCCAGAAAGCGGTTCTGTCCCATTGTGGTGGTGCAATCCTTTCCCTGCTCCTTTGCTGGGATGCTTGGTGCTTGGTGTGATTCCACCCCCCTCCTGGGCCACACACCGACCCAGGGTGGTATGGATTGGAAATGGCAGAGGAGCAGAGTGGTAAGGCACCCCCTTGACGTGCCTGGCTCCGGCTCTCCCTGTCACTTGGGAGCGGCAGTGACAGTCCATCACCTCTTGACAGCCTGGTCCATCTGTTCCTGGGACGTGGCTGAGGGTGGGCAAGAACAGAATTGCATATCCAGCAAGTTCTGGGCCAGTGCAACTGGTGGAAAACATCAGAACATTTCATCACTCGAGTCGGGCCAGGGTGGAAAATTACCTGATGAAAGTCAATTATCTTGGACCCCATAAGTAGTGACCCCCATTGAGACCCTTTAAGCTCTCCTGCACTGCAGCGGGTCTGTACCAGCATCTCCCCTGAGTTGGGACACCTCTCAGGTATCAACTCCTTGAAGTACCTTCTGCTGTCGAAGCCAATGAAGGGCCGAGATGAAGTTGCCCCCCTCAGGTCTCAATTACTGCCCATCTCATTGTGAATAGTTACTCTACACTTGAGAAGAGGAGGGAAATATTAGCTGTAGACTAACTTCTCTCACCCACCTCTCTACTTACCTGTGCTTTTGGCTATACGCAGTTGTTTTTACGAGTGTGGGTACATACATATTTCACTGGATCCAAATATTTTTGTCTTTGTGTTTGTACATCTTGTGTTTATGAATGTACATACACATGCACACAACACACACACACACATATATATTTAGGATACCTTATAGTAAGTCAGTGTGATTCATGTCATTTTCGAATCTGTAGCTGAGTCATTATTTTAATCATAATATATTTCACTGAATTATTTGTTAAATCCTTAAATTGGTTAATGGTTAGTTGCTGCTGATCATTAATATATCTTGATTTGCTGCTAAATCATTACTGTGTTAAAATTTCCATTCGTGACAAACTGGCGTAGTCAGCAGGTTGGCAGAATAACCAAATACTTGCAAAAACATGGTTTCTAACCAAATCCCACCTTCCCAGAAGACTGGGCTTGTAGTAATTAGTCTAACTGAGAAGAGGTAGAAAAACAGTTAACTGATGCCAGAGGTACAAACCAAATTTGGAAAAGATAAAGGTACATTTTGTAAAATGTTGGGAGTGTGCCTAGAATCTGCCTGCCAGGAATGAGGAAAACTTAACTATCAAATACAAGATTTACAGGCTGAGACTGCAGGGCAGAAATCTACCGAGCTGCTGTTATCAATTAAAATAGAACAATTACAAAAAGAACTTAAAGAACCCCAATTAAAACAACACAAACTGGGACAACACAGTGAAATGATGTTAATGCAGTCTCCAAACCCCCCTGATATAGTTCAAATCAGAAAATTGTGTCTCCCTAAGACTGGGATGGTTATATTTGGAGTGTTTGAAATAATAACAG